CTTTCGCTTCGGTGAGGGTTGTCGATCTCAGATAGGATCTGCCACTGAAGCCTGAAGTTTCGGGAATGCGGCATTGAGAGTAGTTGTGCGTAGGATCTCCACATGTCACTTGAGGATGATCGTCTATGAAAGTTGAAGTCCATAATCCATATCTACGGGATCTCGGTAGGGACTATAAAAAACATATTTTAGAGGGACAGGAAAAGCATCTAGTATTTTGTATCGACAAAACTGAACTTAATACAATGGGTTGGTCTGTAATAGGTGCAAGTTAGACGAAGAATGTCGACACACAGAAGGGTAAGAATGTTACATGGTTGTGGCGATCTCCCTGAAAGAAGGCTTGCTTCATCATACTTTTCTCCAGAGAGCACTTTTTCGTGTAAAGTCTCAGAACTTCCTTTTCTGATCAGTCCTGATCGGGAAGTTATATTTATTTCGGATGATGCCAGGGTTAACATGGAATACCCAACCATCCAAGTCAATAATTCAATGAAGTTATTCCATAATTTAGTCACCTTCTCTATGCCATCGAGAGCATATTCTCTGGAATTAGGGTAGAATCAAAATAAATCTAATTAGTAAACGGATTCCCAGTCACGACAGGGCTGCGGCTGCTGCTCAGAGCATGACAATGCAGCAGTGCATAGTTCATACAATAACAGAAGTTGCAATGACATCATTTCCCTTGTACACATCAGACAACCGTCAGCGATGCATACGTACGAAGTATTGAACAAGTGCTTGGAAAGAAACTACTTAACGCGATGAACGAAGAGCTCCAGTCATGAAACCCATGTTTTATCTTCTCGTTTCCCTCCTATTTAGAGCCTTTCATTCATATCTGTACTTGTAGACCAAGGAAACAATATGTTCACTGAATTTCAGTCATCCCATCAACTCGTTTTTCTGCAATGAAAAAGTTTCGAAAGAACAACGGAAGAAAACAAGAGCTGAATTTTTTTATTTCTCAAACTCCCAGGATCCAAGGATTTGGACGAGGCAGATAATCAACGCTCTAGTCTGGGGCATTCACACAATTACTACGACGATGGATGTCAAAGTATTAGTAGAAAGAACGTTTTCTAGAAATTGTTTTTACAAAAATGACTGAAATATTTAAAGAGAACGAATTTAATAAGCATTTTTGGAAAGGTGTACTTGCTTAGGGACATTTTTTGGCACACTAGGCTGATTCCTCTTCTAGTTAAACTTTTGTTTTTACTAAACTTTGTTTTTCTTTCCGTCAAACCTCAGAAAGACTTGAGAACCAGGGGGAAAATACTTAATTTATTTTGCTTTTGGTCTCGTGATAGAAGGCTTCGCAATTGATCCTGGAAGAACGAAGAAAAGTTGCAACCTGGATCAAGGTCTGTGAGAGTACCATCAGAGTTAACGGTGGTGGTTTCGGAGATTTTTTTTATGCCGAGCTCCATGCCAAATGTGTTAATATAAGCGAAGGAGATTTTGAGGCACTTTAAAAAGGCAGAAATACATCAATTTTCGACAAATGGCACGCTATCGTTCAGTAAGAATTACTACTTTTTGGTGACAACTATTTAATAGAAATGTGTGTTTTATTTTTAAAATGGTATTGTGACTTAGGGACACCTTGTATGCTCAGTGCAGTGAAACGGATAAACATAGAAATGTTGTGGGAATGCGTACTTTGAGAGGTAAGTAATCTTGGCGCCTATCCACGGTTTATCATTAAACATTTTCGCTGTAGCAAAATGGTACCGTGACGGTTTTTATCATTGCGTTACAAAAGATACTGCTTGAGGGAATGAAGCTTTCATCGAGTTTGTTCCATGTTCCTTTTCTTTGTCGATATTATGTCGGGTGGTAAAGAATCGGGAAAAGTTAATGTCTGGGGTTTATTGTCGGGAATGTTTTAACAGGGTACATTCCGTTGTGCCATGCTTTTGAGCATAGCTTCACAAACAGGACAGTTAGCTAACAGTTTATTACTTTTTTTCATCCCTCTCTCGATTGAGCTGGAATTCAGGAAAACTTCAAAGGGTCATTTAAAAAAATTACTTCAAGCCATATTAAAACTAAGTACTCTTACAAAAGATAAAATAATGGACACCGCAAAACGAAGAGCCTATCTGGAAATGTGAATTTAAACAGAACAGTTAACTAAATTGTGCAATTTTCATGTTTATTATTTAAAAAACAATATTCTTAGAGTAATCCAGGAATGGTGATATGTTACATCTGGAATTTCAAAATGATAAAGATTGAGATCATATAGCAGTTCACTTTTCTTCCAAATACTATAACACTCTGATATGGGGACTTCCTTTCTGATATGTTGCTGCATGTGTAGAGGTATCCTTTCATTCCAACAGGAATACTTGTTATACGTGGATGAACGTCCGTCACCAAAGAAGTGAAACCTCCAAGGAGACAGAGCAACACAATCTTCCTCCAGCCGTCCTCAGACTGCCAATCCTGTAATGAATCCATTACTGACCGTCCTCTTCCTTTTCTCTCCATCCTTTGCATCTGGGGTGTTGATACAGTCGTGCCCCACCCAAGACATATCACCCTGCAAGTGCAGCAAGAGTGATCTTGGTCAGGTGACCGTAGATTGTTCGAGAGCTAGTTCTGGTGCTGAGATTTCCTCAGTACTGACGAATGCCTCATGGCGTTATCCTATACTCTGGTGAGTAAACCATTTCTTATTCTCAATTCCATTCAATTATCTCGATTCGCCCTGCCCTCAGCACCCATCGCCTTTGCACTGAAGCGACAGTTCCATAAAAATTACAAGTGAAAACCCCACGAAAACCATACTTCAGAGGTAGATACACTGAGGGCGCAACTATTTTGGGGTGACCTATTAGGTTCAAGTTTTTCACTCCTCCTAATCGGACACAAAGAAGAGACGAATTTTTGTTAATATTTATGAAACTGCAGGATTGACATGCGGCCCTCTGGGGAATCTTGTCTTGTCTTGGGTTAGTGGAGTGGTTTTCCGAAAAGTTATCCTTAACGTAGTGATTCCAGCAAGCATGGTTGTAGATCGTTGAGCACTGTGCATGTTAAATCTTTGATTTCCTCGATGGTAACGACCCTGAAGGAAATCTAAGATGCGAATCCGTCGGATGCTCTCTATCATCTTCCCCGGAATACTCGTGAGATCCACTGACCTGTAATTACTGGGTTGCTCTCATCTCCCTTCTTCAAGATTGGAACGATAATTAGCTGGTTTTCAGTCTCGGGGAAATTCCACACGCGAAAAGTTAATCTGGAAAAGTATTCTTGCTATACCTATATCTATTTCCTTCGCGGATTCCTTTAGGACACTCGCCGGAATCCCATCCTGGGCCGGTTACCGCGCCTGCCACCAACTTTACAATACTACTCATCTTCTGCTAGGTGATGATTTTTTTCGACAAACGCCAAGATGGCTTCGGTCATCGTCGGAACGTCGTAGGTTTCCATAGTGCGCACACAAACGAAGAAATCGTTCGGGAGTTAGTTGCCGATAGCCTTCGCTATCCGCAGCTAACTCCCCTCTCCTTCCTCCCGCTCAGGATTTATTTTTGCTAAATGATCCTAGACCTTAGATCCAACTGAATACGAAACTTTTTCCAGGATCTTACGTTTTCAATACTATACCGCATTGGACCAAATTTAAACATCGAAGAAAGGCACGTTTGGTTGAGTGTTGGTGTGACACATTCTCATTGACCTTGTGCAATAATTTGGTTTCACGAAATCATGACAATTTCTTTAATGGACAAATGCTTCTTGGAATTTTCTGATACAGGTAGCTTCCGCGCATACACTCAATATACGTCCTACTTTTTTCAACTTCATCGCAATCCGCAATTGATAGTGATGCACTTGATGCGCGGTGCATCCTCATTAGGGTATTTCTCATTGCAGGCAATTTCTCCTCGAAGACAATCCTGGAGTGGTGGAGCTTCCCGAAGGATCCCCAAGGGGGCCTGTCTTCCAGGTGATAAGAATTCTCAGGACTGGAGTGAAGAGGATCAGTCCGTCGGCTGTGCTCCCGTCGAAGCTGCATCTGGAGCAGTTCATGACTCTGCAGAGTCGGCTGGAGGAATTTCCCTTTCAGATTCTCCAGGAATTCCAGCGCTTGAAGCAACTGTATCTCTTTACCAATTTGTTGACTACGATCCCCGCCTTCGAGAGCGACAGCCTAGAAACTATTATCCTCTACTCCAACAAGATTGCGAGCATAGAGTTCGACGGAAGGAAGACTCCCAAATTGCGGGAACTCGGTCTAGGTAACAATTTGCTGACTTCAGTCCCGCCCTTCAAGAGCGACCGCCTGGAAATACTTTTACTTAATAATAATAACCTCAAAAACTTGAAATTCGACGGATGGGAAACGCCAAAATTGAAAACTCTCTCACTCGAAGGCAATTTGTTGACCGGAAGCCCAACTTTCAAGAGCGACAGTCTAGAAACACTGTCACTTCTTTCCAATAGGATCAAGAGTGTTGATATCGACAGATGGACGACTCCTAAATTGCGGGAACTCGATCTAGGCAACAATTTCCTGACATCAGTCCCGGCCTTCAAGAGCGACAGCCTGGAAAAACTTTTACTCAATAATAATAACCTCGCAAACTTGAAATTAGACGAATGGGAAACTCCGAAATTGAAAACCCTCTCTCTCGAAGGCAATTTGTTGACTTCTGTCCCAGCCATCAAGAGTGACAGTCTGGAAAATCTTTCACTTTTTTCCAATATGATCAAGAGTGTGGATATCGACAAATGGACGACTCCCAAATTGCGGGAACTCCGTCTGGGCAACAATTTGTTGGCTTCCGTCCCGGCCTTCAATAGCGATAGCCTGGAGATTCTCAAACTCAATAACAATAACATCACGAGTTTTGAAGCAAACGGATGGACGACTCCCAATTTGAGGGAATTCAACATTCGTGAGTATTGAATATTTTGTGTATTCATGTTGGTGTCTGTTTATTGCGATGTTTTCCTTTCCAATGAACATTTTTCTTCACATCCGAAAAAAGGATGGAAGTGCCATTTAGGAAAACCTCGTTTCCAAAGGAACTTTTCAGCTTCTTTTTGAAATAAAATTACCTTGAAACACCCTGCGCTAATGAAGCATTTCTCAAACCAAGCGTCTGTTCCGATTTGATATTAACCTTCATCGTATATGCACGCATTTATTTCCACATTAATGAGGTTTTTCGATATCGTTTGGCACTTTCAGCTGCGTCACACCGACTTCTACGAAGAGGGCAATCGTTGTTCCCGCTTTCAGGAAGCGATACAACTCTGCAGATTGGACCCTTGCCCTTATATAGAGTAAAAAAGGGGGAAGCCCCAGGGCTTTCATATCTCACCAACATATGGGTATGGGTAGTCAGATTCAAGAATCGACTGGAATGTGAAGTGTCTGGTTCATGCTTAGTTTGAGCATCTACTTTGAAGAAGTAGAAAAAAAGGGAGGATAGCGAAACCTGAAAACGGTTAACATACAAGCCGAATTTGTTTTATATGTGCCGAGATCAACCAATCCAACGAGTACTCTTGATAATTATTTATGAAAAAGCCTCTTCTCAATCAAAATGCGACAGAGAATGGTCGAGTGGCGAACGCGAGTATTTATTTCAATTCTAACCAGTACGAGCGAAGCTGGTACTTTTGCATCATCTTACTCATCTCTTTTTTGCATTTCGTTCAGAGTCGAATCCCCTGTTGAAGTTCCCATCTGCAGTGATCAAGAATCTGAAGAAACTCGAGACATTTTGGTGCTCAGGGTGTAACCTGGGTCCCACCCTTTCGAGTGGTCTCTTGGCATTCCAAAGCAAGACCTTGCAATCGGTCGTCCTCACGAGCAACGGGATCTTCAGACTGGAGCCAGGAGCCATCACAGGTATGTCACCCGGATGGAATCGATGAATATTTCGGTGTGTAAGTATTTTGCAATGCTACCAAGACCAAAACGTCCCCCCTGACCGACATTTACTGCATCGAAGTTCCTCATTAAAGCCCAAAACTTCCTTTTCCTCGGAAATTCATCCGTATTGGCGATGTAAGCCATTATGAGAGACGATAAAGAATTTCACCCCAGTTTGGTCATCGAATAAGGCGACATATTGCGCCTAATAATTTTATTTTTGTTCCATGTTCGAAATTGTTTGCATGATTCACGATGTTACCATCACCTTGTAGCACGCTCTAGGTGAACCAACATTGATTCAATCCATTCGGCACAACAACGTCGTATCAACATTGAGAAACGGTTGAAATGTTGAGACTTGGTTGAAGTTGAGAATTCAACGAAAAATCAACATCAATGAAATGTTTGGTGTTCGTAATTAACAAAATTTAAAGAATTTGGTGACTACTTGGGAATTAGAGAAGTCGTTCAGAGGCTATTCAGCCCTAATTCGTTTTTCATCGTGTTCTCAATGTTGTTTCTACGTGGAGTTATCCCCATCAACAGAAAATAGGTTCCACGAATCGACGCGAGATGGCACCTAATTACCGATTCGACCATTCTTACCCTGATGCTCTGCAATTAACAGTACCCTACATTTTTCATATAGTACCTGATCTTTCCTAATTTACAAAATAAGGGAAGGTATAGGAATTTCTAGATAGACCTGTTTAAGGATGTAATCAGCAGAAGGAGACTCAAGGTACTTTGGCCAGTAGGTCCGTGGAGACATGTTCGACATTCCTAAATCTCCACATGGCACATCTATTTACGCGAGCAGAAAGCTTTGGACCAAGCTCATGGGTACAGAGGAACACAATTTCAAACCCTGCTTTAACGTTATCACCATGATTATTGAAAATATTATTATTAATACTAATTTCTCCGAAAATGGTATCAATCAAAAAGTGAAGCCCAAACTTTACGGATGATCAGAACACAACGTGTTCTGTTCGCACACTTCACCACAACCACTAAACTCGTTTCGTTCCTCAAATATACCCATTCGTTTTTTTTTTAAATCAGACCTGTAGCTCATTATTCGTATTCCAGGCCTCGAACGTAATACGTTGGTACATCTAAACGGAAACAAAATCTCTGCATTGTCCATTGATAACATCCGCCCGATGTTGGACGTTCTCTCCAGGGGAAACGGAGTCCTCGATCTGAGGGGTGAGTTTTATGGTTTCTCTTACCTGCGCGGCCGGTCGCGTGCCTTACGCGATTCCTACGTCCGTCTTGATCCCGCTGTCTTCTGTGCCTTTATTCCAGACAATCCCATCCGGTGTGATTGCGAAATAGCATGGGTTGTGCTCCATCGGAAATATCTAAAGAGCATTTCTGGGAAGTGCCACAACGAAACCGATCTGAAAGACTTAGATCTGTACTTCATGAAAAACTGCGATCGCGAATGCCCCTACGAGTGCATCATCAGCCTATGGCTCCCTCTCTGTACGCCGGGGACGGTCAGTCTCTCGCACGTGGACAACTGCCGATCCGGGGAACTGTGCTGCAAGCCGAACATCCCAGAAAGTCCTGATGAAAGTACCGATGTAGATGTCGCTGAAGTGACATCTCCATCGGTTCCAAAAATCTCCTTTGGTACGTAATTTTTAAAGTGATTTTGATTTCACCAAAGGAATGAAACGGTAAAATATCTAGCAGTTATTTTACTCGTAATGGAATTCACACGATATGCTTAAAATGAAGACCAAAGTGATGATTTGACTGACACCTTCACGAAACAGCAGGCAAAAGTACCAACGCTTACCGAATTTCATTCTGCTCATTCATCCGTTGTAGAATTGGCCATGACAGTAATCCTAGTCTTTCTATCCGCCAACAGGTAGCCCGACCGGATGTGAACAATTAAGCACGCTCACGCATGGTTCTATCACCATTGAATCTTGTCCAACCCCGTCAGAAAGGATAGGTGAAAACGACAATGTAGAATGCATTCAAGATGGGAAATACGAATTCGGGACCGTTGTAAGATATACTTGCGACAATTATTACATTTTAAGAGGGTCCGAGTTTCGTCGATGCACCCATGAAGGAGAATGGACAGGAAATATACCTTTCTGCGAACCTGGTAAGTTTTTTCGATCAACATTTATCCTGCTCACCAGACTCACTCATCTGTGGAATCCGAAAGCGCATCATCGCACTATCCTATATCTAGTCTGCGGGAGGAAGAATTACCAAGTGACGTTGTCCAAAGGTGGAAAGCCTTCCCCGATAGGAGAGTGGCCGTGGCAGGCGGCCATTTATGACGTCAATAAACAGGATGTCATCTGTGGAGGGGCACTTGTTCTGGAGCAATGGGTGCTGACAGCGGCCCATTGTGTTACCGTGCAGGGTGCCGAGAATCCTCTGAACCGGACAGACCTATTGATCTACCTTGGGAAACACCATCGAGCTGTGGTCAAGGACGATGAATACGTGCAGATCAGACAAGTTCCGTGGGCAGGAAATTTTCCTACTTTCATCCATTCGTTTCCTCATGATGGAAGATGCTACGATCTCTTTACAGGTGTCTCGCATAATCGTGCACAGGGACTTCAGCGTCCAAAACTACGACTCGGATATTGCTCTACTGGAATTAGCAAAGCCTTTCGTGCTGACAGCGCGAGTGCAGCTGGTGTGTCTCCCAACCCAATTGTATATCTCTGAAGAAAATCTCCAGGAAGGAATACATGGATGGGTAAGACACGAAATGTCTCATTATCTGTAAGTACCTTATACAATTCTTCTGACAGGGTACTCGTTGAAAACTTTCCTTTTGACCGTACATCGACGCAGGTGGCCGGATGGGGCTATGACGAATCGGATCTTCCTGCAGCCGTCCTGACAGAGGTTCAACTCCCAGTCGCATCCGTTCGCTCGTGCCTTCACGACATCGCACACTTGACAGGGAACTTCACCGCCATTCGTACCATCACCTCGAACATGTTCTGCGCTGGCCTTGCTAGAAACACCTCTCTTCAGGGTATGTATTGTCTCCAGAGCGGCGAAAGCATAGATTTCTATCTTTCCTTCAACGCCTCCCAAGACAATGAAATTAATCTTGTGGGCGAGCATTTTTCCCCCTCAATAGGAAATAATTTTACAATTGTAAGGGACTGATCGTATGGTTGTATGGTTAAGTTCCTTGCAGAATTTGAATCACAAATTGACTTCACATCTACAACAGAATGTAGATGTTCTATAGCTGCTGTCCGGTAATTATGCAATGAATAAATTATTAAGGAATTAGTTACGGATGCAGCCTGCCCTTGAATTAATGATTGCTGATGGGTTGGTGTAAACAAATTCATTAGGTTCACTGATTTAGTTTTTTTTAAATTAATCATATTAAATTTCCACTGATACTCCCCTATGACTTTCCATCCGTGATGGACAAACGGAATGTCAATAATGATGTGCGTTTCGGTACAGATTATCGAACAGTGTGTCCTGGGGACTCGGGAAGTCCTATGGTCTTCCTCTCAAATGTCTCACTGGACAGCCACTGGACGGTAGAAGGAATCGTGAGTCACTTCTTCCAGAAGGAGCCTTGTTCTCTGAGGCGTCCCGGACAGTATGGCGTCTTCACCAAAATTAACGGGTGAGAGCAGGTCGATTCCACCCGATTCTGTCGTCCGTTTCCGCGAAATACGATTCTCACACCTCGTTCCCCTGTTAGGTTCACCCGATGGATCAACGATGTTCTAGAGGACTACTGACGAGTGAAAATCGACGGAACTGGATACAGGCGAAGTTCGGCATATCCGAGGGAAGTAGATTCTGAAGAAGCTTCTATATCTTTAGACGTTGACTCGCCTACGCCACACCGACTAGCATGGACGTCCAGATGCAGTTAGAAAAAAGTCTCGCATCCTTTTTTCGAGGATATTATTCATAGAGTCGTGAGTGCTAGTAACATTGCTGTAACGATACCGGTTTATTGGTAGTTAACCCAAGTGTTGCTTACTTGTAATATTATCGGTCAATTACCAGTGAATAACATTTTCATGATTTTCCGCACTTTCTGTAGCAAGAAAAATGCATAGTATCCTGCCTGATTCCTTTTGCCAGAAAGAGTTATCCTAGAGTTATCCTGCTCCATCAAGAAGACAACATTTTCATTTTCTTTGATCTACGTCTTTCTGTCCCTACATACGTGTAGCCTTTCAGCATTTTCCTTATTCAGAAACATTTTCCTCATGAATGTCGGTGTCGAGTGAAGCACCGAATTGCCAATGGATGCAAGTGAGGGTATTTCCTCTCAAATGCCGGAAGAAATGCATCGATGACGGATACCATTCACATGGTGTTCCAAGATTTCCGCCTCAGGAATTCGTTCATCTTCCAGGGAATACCAATGGCTGACACAAAGGAAATGGCTACACATCGGAAAACTTTCGACGCGTAGGTAACATAAGAAGAGGATAGGGGAGCTGGGTAGGCAAGCAGAGCGGAAATGAAAACTGAGTGCGCTAGGACAGCGAAGAGAGAGAGAGGGGAAATGCCCTTCTGCCTCGACTACTGGGTAAAGAGTGACCCGAAAGCGTAGAGGATAGGGGAGCTGGGTAGGCAAGCAGAGCGGAAATGAAAACTGAGTGCGCTAGGACAGCGAAGAGAGAGAGAGGGGAAATGCCCTTCTGCCTCGACTACTGGGTAAAGAGTGACCCGAAAGCGTCCCCGAGGACCCCTTTTATGCGCATCATTGTGACGTCACTCTGCGTGCAAATTCACGACCTCCTCTATGCCGGGGCTTGCATACAACGCAATTAGAGAAAACTTCGAAAGAAGATTTCACATACATGGGCATACAGACAAAGCAATTCGTGAGTTGGTAAATCAATGTAAAATACCATGATCTGTCAATTATGAGGAAAGATATAGGCGTCCAGGTACATCCCATGAAAATGTTGAATTGATAGAAGAATCTTTTGAAGGGGATTCTAGAATCTCATCACACACAGCATCACGTATATTGAACAAACCCAGACCAACTCTTAACAGGATTTTAAAGTCAACCTTAAAAAAAGAGAATGTACCACATTAAAGTGCTATATCATTTACGTGAAGAGGATTATCTTTGACGAGCCATCACATGTGCAGAACTGGTTGAAGAAATTGAAAATGAAGATTTAATTGACCACATTCTCTTAAGCCATGAAGCCGCTTTCCACGTCAGTGGAAAAGGGAATTTACCCAATTGTTGCATCTGGGCTAGCAAAAAAATCAACTGATTTTTAGGAATGGGATAAAGATTCCCCTGAAATTAATGCCTGGATGGACATAAAAAAATGAAAGATTTGCAGCCCCTTTTTCTTTGCAGAGGTTACAGTGGCAGGGCCAGTTTATCTTGACATGCTTCAACAATTCCTAGAGACCAGCTTCTCTTAGATGGCATTCTCAACACTGTTGTATTTCATCAGAATGTCCTTTCTCCTTGTCATTACGCAAAAAACGTTCGAGCACACCTCACTGAAAGTTTCCCAAATTGTTGGATTGGTCATGGTGGAAACAGGCCTTGGGTGGCAAGATCTCCGGATTTAATACCTCTAGATTTCTTTTCTCGGTGCTTCATAACGTCTGAGGTGTACATAACAAAAAGTGGCAGATCTGCCAGTTTTGAGAAATCGCATAGCTGCCGCAGGGAGGAAAATAACTCTACGGATGGTGGTGAATGTCTTCCGCAATGCAGCTGACAGAATTGAGATGTGCAGAGAGTTTTTACCCCTTCGAAAACGAACAAATGATTTAATCAAAATCCTAGATGATGGACCGCCGAAGGCGCGACCATTATGTATAATATATATACATTTTTATCCCATTGATGCCCCATAACTTTACAATAAGGCCTCCCACCTGCGAACTGAAACCCTCTCTTCCTTGTTCCGAGAGATGGACGATGGCTATCATCCTTCGATATTGGTGTAGAACTTCCTAGAACAAAAACGGGCGGAGCAATACCGTTAGTGAATCATACATGGTAGAATCAGGGGATGACTTTTCTTCTCGCATGTGTACGTTATGTGCANGAGGATTGGGGAGCTGGGTAGGCAAGCAGAGCGGAAATGAAAACTGAGTGCGCTAGGACAGCGAAGAGAGAGAGAGGGGAAATGCCCTTCTGCCTCGACTACTGGGTAAAGAGTGACCCGAAAGCGTTTTTTTTGTTCAATGACCATTTATTATACAACATGCCCTTTACAGGAAAAGGATACAAGATGGGAGGAAATGGAATATACAGGATTGGTTATGGACAGATGGTAGTTCTTCAGAGGTTCTTGAAGTCCAGGTCTTGGGGTTGTAAGGTGGTGTGGAGGTCTTGGGGTTGGGTGGGTCCGCGGCCAGCCACCAGGTGGTGTTGTCAGGCCAGGGGTTGCCGAAAGCGTCCCCGAGGGCCCCTTTTATGCGCATCATTGTGACGTCACTCTGCGTGCAAATTCACGACCTCCTCTATGCCGGGGCTTGCTTACAACGCAATTAGAGAAAACTTCGAAAGAAGATTTCAAATACATGGGCAGTGTCTGTTTCGTTAAGCACTCAACCATTTAGTTACATTTTATGGTACTAGACAGTTAATACTCCTTTCTATATCCGCAGGTCCATGTAGGGTACTTTTACAACTTAACTATCTTCTTAGAAAACTTCGGGATTCTAGAATCTCATCACACACAGCATCACGTATATTGAACAAACCCAGACCAACTCTTAACAGGATTTTAAAGTCAACCTTAAAAAAAGAGAATGTACCACATTAAAGTGCTATATCATTTACGTGAAGAGGATTATCTTTGACGAGCCATCACATGTGCAGAACTGGTTGAAGAAATTGAAAATGAAGATTTAATTGACCACATTCTCTTAAGCCATGAAGCCGCTTTCCACGTCAGTGGAAAAGGGAATTTACCCAATTGTTGCATCTGGGCTAGCAAAAAAATCAACTGATTTTTAGGAATGGGATAAAGATTCCCCTGAAATTAATGCCTGGATGGACATAAAAAAATGAAAGATTTGCAGCCCCTTTTTCTTTGCAGAGGTTACAGTGGCAGGGCCAGTTTATCTTGACATGCTTCAACAATTCCTAGAGACCAGCTTCTCTTAGATGGCATTCTCAACACTGTTGTATTTCATCAGAATGTCCTTTCTCCTTGTCATTACGCAAAAAACGTTCGAGCACACCTCACTGAAAGTTTCCCAAATTGTTGGATTGGTCATGGTGGAAACAGGCCTTGGGTGGCAAGATCTCCGGATTTAATACCTCTAGATTTCTTTTCTCGGTGCTTCATAACGTCTGAGGTGTACATAACAAAAAGTGGCAGATCTGCCAGTTTTGAGAAATCGCATAGCTGCCGCAGGGAGGAAAATAACTCTACGGATGGTGGTGAATGTCTTCCGCAATGCAGCTGACAGAATTGAGATGTGCAGAGAGTTTTTACCCCTTCGAAAACGAACAAATGATTTAATCAAAATCCTAGATGATGGACCGCCGAAGGCGCGACCATTATGTATAATATATATACATTTTTATCCCATTGATGCCCCATAACTTTACAATAAGGCCTCCCACCTGCGAACTGAAACCCTCTCTTCCTTGTTCCGAGAGATGGACGATGGCTATCATCCTTCGATATTGGTGTAGAACTTCCTAGAACAAAAACGGGCGGAGCAATACCGTTAGTGAATCATACATGGTAGAATCAGGGGATGACTTTTCTTCTCGCATGTGTACGTTATGTGCAATCCTTGAAAGCACTTATATATTGCCTAATAATTGGCAGACGTGATACGTGATGGCCATTGTTGGCACCCAAGAAAGGCTCAAGCACTTTGTCAATATTGGGTCTATTATTAGCTGGATTGATTGGGATTCCTGTGGTCGATGAGACATTTCGGCCTTGGACAATGGTCGGCAACCAAAGATAACCCAAGCAATTTGCCAATGATATACCATGCTTTGCCCAATGAATTTTGGCTCTCTGAGAAGTCTTGACATGGTGGACTTCATCACACCAAGAAGCTCAGGAAAGACTTGTCTCTGGTGATAGCAATTAAATTTTGCCCAGGAGAGCGATCTTTTTAGAGAGTGACAAATCCTTCCCCCATCAACATCACGAGCATTGATATGGACACCAATCCCGGACAGACGGTGTAAATCCACTCTAGCCTTGCCTCTATAATGTTGATTTTCGTCCCGAATATACCGGTGAATTAATGCACTTGGATAAAAGTCATTCCGTTCCTGAAAAAATGTCCCGTTAAACCGGTTACCCATATTAACCGATGGCCGAATAAACTGGAACCCACTGCATGCTGGCATTTTTTGGGTCTTCTCTATTACGACGTCCCATTTCTAGGCAACACGGACACTCGAAAGCCTTCCAGCTACCTGGCTTGCACTTTATAAAGCTGACAGTTTCATCCAGTCCAGCTTCGGATGTAGGATATTTTTTACATTCCTTCTACTTGACAATTCTCGTCACGGAGAGCGAACCGCTTGAATGAAGGGCAAACGAATGAGGAACGAATAAGGAGGAGGAGGGAACTGGTGTTATTGCTCGCAGCAAGCGAGTCTAGTCTTATAAGGAAAGCTCCCAGGTTCTCGTTGCATCGTGTTGTGTCCCTTTTCAGATGGAGCGTCTGTCACCGTATAGAGGGTAGTTAGAGGTTTCCACTGACTGAGGCGAAATAATTAGAGTTCCCTTTTAAGAGTTAAGAGCGTTGTGAGCAC